AATATATAGATATTTTTACCAAAATACTCATTAACTATTCGAAAAAAAACTTCTGCTTTTGCAATTTTACTGCAGGTCACTCGAATTACTAAAGTATAATGCACCTTTTACGTCTATTTTAAACAGAAATCTGCAGAACTGATTGCTAAACATCATACGAAAATGATTTTTATATTTTAAATTCTTGGTCAGTCATTATGACTTTTTTAAAATTTTCTTTCTTCAGTTTCAGTGTTTTTACTCCGCCCAAGCGAATAAAAATTAAAAATTATGTTTTTATACGATTTCTTAATAACTTAATTCACGAATTAATTTACTTTCTATTAATTAATTTCGATATGTGCGATATACTTGCGGAACCAAGTAACCAAGTAAGATGAATATTTGTGCAGTGGTGTAACAAGTATATGACCAATACGGTCTTGGCCATAGGCGCCAGTTTATCGAATATAACAATTTACTAATATATAGGCAATATACATAAACAGTGAAACGTCGATAATCTGAACGTCAAAAAACTCTTTTGCTCTGTGATAGCTTTCCGTCATTGATTCATAAAAACATCCCATTATTTATACATAAATATGCAACTTATGCTATAGAAAAAATTGCAAAAGTAAGTTACGAGATAAAACTACTCTTACCAAACTATCCACCTTCAATCAAATCCTTTTCTGCCATGCGTGTAATAAACGTTATGAGAAACTATCCATTGAAGATTAAATTTAATGTTCAAATTGTATGAACAATGCACCTGTTTTTCACTGTGCAGGGATAGGACAGTTTCGCTGTGACCTTTGTGGACCGTGCACTCTTATTTTGCTCTATTGAGCATATTAGAGCATGTTTATTGTTTTCAAAAAATTGTTTTTATATTAATTTCGTTCCATACAATTTTGTTTCAATGGTTTCTTTTCAATTTAGAACGATTAAAGAGTCTGTTTTGACAATAATATATTTGAATACATTTATTGTTTTTGTTTATACAAAATTATAGCAAAAAAAAAGAGAGCTTCTGCCCACTTTCTCTTACATCAATGGTGCAATTCGTAAAAAAAATACTGCGTTGAAGCCAATAATTCTTAAGAATTTCATTTTTTTACAATATTAAGCGTTTCCCTGGTTTACATTCTTTACATAGCATCCCGTATAACAAGACTAATAAAGTATTTATAGTTTGTTCTGCTTGATTTTATGCCTTTTATACTAGTTCAAATAAAGGCAATTTTATCCTTATATAGCTTACATATGTATTAATAATATTCAGTTAATGGTAATATGTATACTATGTACAATTTTTGTAATTTGTAAAACAAAATGAAATTTTCAGCATTAAATGTTATCTTGATTGAGATGATATAATATTTATGATATTACCATGCTTATAAAGGTGCAAGTTGTTTCCAATCGACAATCGTTTTGTCATTCCAAACAAATTGTCCTCTTGGTTTCTCTACGTTTGGTGGAAGTAAGGCAAGATATACAGGAGCTTCTGCACCTAAATTTATGAAAATAGTAATCTGTAATATAATAAGCAACATAAAATTTCAAAATTCGTAATTAATTCTTAAATATTTGATTATCTTTGTTGATTAAACTAATATTGTTTCAATAATTTATAATGAATCTTATTTTATATCTTATCAAAATTTGTAATGAAATAATATAACAAGTTCACACCATCTGGAAGGAGAAGCAGGGAAATTTTTCCATGCTTCTCCTTCTCAAGATCCGGAAAAATTTCGAGGTCCATAATGGTTCCTACTCCATAAATTAAAGTTATTTTTACTAAAAACAATAATAAAAATCATTCTATGTATTTTAATTGTTCAAAAAACATGGCAAAGGGTCCACTAAAGGGCAAAAGGATTAGATAAGAAAAGAAAACAGTATTGTACTGTATATTACTTTTATGACTATTATATATAACAGAGGAAAAGTATGACGATCGGCCAAAAAATGACCCCAAGGTTTTAACATTTTCGGACTCAGAAGACGTTGAAACATCGAGAAATGCAAAAAATTCGGTATTTTTTTCTGTATATATGGACGTTAATGTGCATATGGGGCACCCACTTTTAAACTTAATAATTCCTGTGCGTTTTGAAACAGGAATTAAGCTAAAATGTGGAATAAATTCGCCCAATGCACAAAATTTCTTAAATTTTGTGCATTGGGCGAATTGATGCTATTACATTTTGGCGGTGGTCGAGAGGGTGGGGAGATAGAGAGAAGTCGTGTGTTATATCTCAAGTGGGGTCGAGATGAAGCTTTTACTCGTCACTATTTATAATTTTTTATAAAACTCATCTGCTTTATATAAACATGAAGTGAAACAAGTATCCATTTGGAATAGAACAAGATTTTTGTTTCTGGTTAATATAAAAATTTAGATAATTAACAAACCATCAAATTATATATATATATTTATTTATTTATTTATTTAAAGCCATAATTACTCGAACTATTTATATGCTATTTTCTTTTAATTTTTAAAAACTTTTATTAAAATAAAACTAAAATAAATTCAGTTCGATCCATTGCGAATTTATTATAGAATAATTTGATATTTTAAACAATTATCGTCTTACAAAATGCATTAGATGGAAGTTGGATTCAATACGTAGAATTATACTTATTATTTATTATTTGAATTTTAATAAATGGAATATATACATAGTAGATATTTGCTTTTATTGTTTGATATGTAAATATCCATATTCAAATATTAATTAAACTAATATACTGCAATGAAAATAACGAAAAAGAATAAAGAAATATTACAGATTGTCAAGTATTTTAGTATTATTAAATATTGATTCTCAAATAATCAATTTACAAAATAAAAAATATTATTTTGCAATATCAATATTAAGTAAAATATTATAAAAATTCTAATTTTATTCGACTTTGTTATATTAAACAAGGAAATCAAGATATACAGGATGTATCAGAATGACGTTTTAAAAATTTGGGGGATTGTAGAGGATGAAATTTTGAACATTTTGATATAAAGAATTCTATCGGAAATGTGATATAAAGTTTCTACAGCACTTTGCACGTTCTGTGCGGTCGGAATGCTGAATGAAACAGCAGAATACAATATTTATGACAAGTTTTATTGACAAAACAGTAGAGTACAATCAAACTGTACATCGAATCAGTGGCTGCACTACTTTAGAGTAAATGTTCAATGTGACGACCACCAACTTCGTTACATAATGTGCAACGACGAACCATGTTTTGTCCGACCCTCTGTAAGATGCCACGCTCCCCTCTGATGGTATTAAATGCTGTAAAGATGCGCTCCGTAAGCTCATGAACTGTTCCTACAGGTGTTGCGTACACAAAGGACTCCCGTTGACTAGTTGTGTGTTTACAGCACAGCGCCAGTGGATGCAAGGAGTGACCTGAAGGACGGCAAGCACTAAGTACACAACGTCCTGTACACAGGCTCAGTTAGACCACTGTAGCTGTGTAAGATTGCTGTCAGTGTAGATTGCTGCAGTCTTCCATCCGCAGCAATAATATGACGTCAATGGACAGAAGGGTAGCTACTAAAGTGAAGGGCGGTCAAGCACTTCCTACCGCTATAGACACTTTAGTTCAAATTTCCGGCTATAGGTTCCTTATATCAAAACGTTCAAAATTTCATCCTCTACAATCCCCCAAATTTTTTAAAACGTCATTCTGATACACCCTGTATAATAAACTTACCTTGTTCTGGAGTAAGTTCACCTTTGTGACTTGTCATATCTGTATCAACAATTCCCGGATGAACCTAGAATAGTACAGATAATTTTAAATTATTTATAATTATTTTTAATTTTAATTATATTCTTAACAAAAATAAATTGGAAAAATCCGTGTCCACTTCAACTAAGGAAAATGTACTGGCTTCATGATATTACGACCAAAACATTATTAAGTATACTTTCTATTGTTTTAAGAGTAAAATACAGTAAGACTCCGTTTAATGCGGGGATGCGTTCCTAGACGACAAAACACTAAACGAAACAGCGTTAAACGAGGTCATTTTAACATAGAGTAAATAGGTAAAGGGGAACACGCGATCAAAAATAAACAGATTTTACTTTAATTTTTATATTAATTTGTATAATAATATATGTTAAATAAAACATAAACATATGCACACAGAAAGGTAAAGTTCATTTTTTTGTGATGAAGGTTTTGGCTTTCTCGAAATTCTTGTTTCTTGGTCGTGTAGTTTTATTTCTCGCTTTTTTTTTTCTTTCCTTAAGTAAATGTCGGTAGCAGGAGACCTCATCTGAAATGCCTTGTTGTGCTTTTGCACTTCCTTGAAAATCTGGATCATTCGCTACAATTTGATAAACGATTTCGGTTATCGTTACCAAACTTTTACTAAGGAAATCTGTAGAGAAATTTGGGTTCTTTGGGTTCTTCGTTTTCAGAATCTCTATTTTCCAGTTCCACATGAATTCCTTGTTCTGCCAGTTCTCGAAGGTCGTCGTTGGTAAGACTCTGACCAGAAACCTGCAGTAACTCCTCAATATCCTGCTCGTCTACATCTAGTCCTGCTGTATCCATTAGGTTGACCAAATTTGATCGACCTAACGTTACAGCGATAGGCTCTTCTCGTTGAAAATTCTTGGATACCTTCAGTCATAACTTCTTCCACATTTCGTTTATGCATTTATCAGTTAATTCTTGCCAAGCGAAGTCGATATTGCCTATGGTATCCATGCAAAATTGCACCAAACAAACATAAGCTAGATTTAAAGAAAGTACAGCGCTACGACGAATTGCCATCTTTTGCCGATCGGTTCGTGTTTGGGAATAATCGTATTAAATACGAATCAATGAAATGCCGCGATAATTTGAATCAGTTCAATTTTGAGCTTTTTTTTTTTTTAGGCTTTGAGCAGACCGTGTTATATCGCATCAGCGTTAAGCGGAGTCTTACTGTAAATGATTTTGCATACCCAAAACAAAAATTTTACATATGAACATGCATGAATGCATATCCACGCGTATTCCTATGTGTGCATGAATGCGTATGTGTGCCTGAGAACTCTGACGTAACATACTTAAGACTTTTATTTTCAACATTTTAAGTAATGTTCGACGACCGCTTCCTGCAAAGCTTCAAATTGTATACAGGATGTTTGCAAAAGGTATTGCAAAAATAAAAGTGTGGGTTGTATGATGCAACAAATTAAGTAAAAAAATATATTTTGTGACTATCAGAACGCAAAAGCATCGTTGTGGAGATATTGGGAATTGAAATGACAGTGTGTGTTTCTACCCCACAGTACGGAAAATACAAAAAAACAATGAAAGCTTTTTGTTTATTTTTTTACATAAACTGATATAATGGTTTGTTTTGAATAAATAAACAAACAGACAGTCAAGCCAAAAACTATAAGAAGTGCTGAAAATTCCTCCATCCTTCTGCAAAATGCATGCCTGCATCCAACAATTGACTGACGGATCCATAAAAGTACTTCAGCATTTTGACTCAATTCTTCCATTTTGTAGCAATTAACTCGTGGCTTGGTTTGTATTCGCATAATTAGCTTGGGTAGCTATCTCTGTGGCCTAGGATATGCCCTTTTCTTCAAGTAATCCCAGAGAAAGAATCCTCAATATCACTGTAATGGTGCGAAATTGGATGAATCGTCGAACCCATTTTTATTTCTGCAATGCCCTTTCCAAACATTCTATGTTTTTTTTCTTTTAAAATAATAATATAAAATGCGAAAGAGCATAAATAATACACAGATTCAATAAGCTGTTTCATCCTTAATTCTATTGCTGAAGTATTCAAAATTATTATGCACAATACGGCGAGTTCAATGTATTATGCACACAATAAGTAATTTTGCAATTTTTTTACAATAAATAATTCAAAGAAACTATTTTATTAAAAAGAAAAAGTACTTACGGCATTTACAACCAAATCGGGACGAGAATCTTCATCAAATTCTCTTTGTTGAATAAAAGTAAGTGCCGAAACACCTACTTTAGAAACACAATACGTTGAATTAGACCAGCCATTCTTTTCGTGTACGCCATCTTTTATATCTCTATATAATAATTTACATTGAAATAAAAAAGTTTGAATAAATATATTTATATTGCTTAATGACCATTTATAATAATTTAATGACCATTTAAACAATATAATAGTTTTGAAATAGAAATCTAATAACTTGAAAATTAAATATAAGCTTTTAAATCTAAAGATCTTACTGAACAAACTTTCTCATTAATACGCATAACTCTTCTTTGGTTAAATATGGAGAAGAAAATTTCTTCTGTATATCTTCGTTGCCAACTTTTGATAACATTCCATAGACACTTGATATGTTTACAACTCTAAATAAAAAAGAAAAAACAAATTTGTTAAATAGTATATCTATTTTTAATAATTATTTGTATGTAACTATAAATATATTTTATTTTATTCTATTTTTTCATAGAAATTATGGTAATGACAAAAAATGGTAATAAATAAGCGCTAAATACATTTATTACTATAATTCTTCATCATTAGTATTCATTTTATTATGTTTGTTATAAATAAAATTGATGTATTTAACACAATACACAGTTAAATAATTAAAACTAATATATATATTGTGGTAAATTCTGTATTACTTATAGATAATTTCATGAGATAAAGGAAAATATATGTTTGATATGAGAGTAAAAAATGTGTTTTTTTTCTTCTTTTTTAATTCAATTAATAAATTTAATTAATAGTAAATGATAATACTTAATCCTTAACGAATTACTTTAAAAATATTATGAAAATTGTACCAATGATGGCATCATAGCCGATGATATTCGAGTAAGACTGATGAAATGAGTAATAATGTCCTCACTGATGCAATTTCAACATCATTATTAATGACATCATGATGACAATATAAATGATCATACTATCGATTTATTATTTGTATGAACTTTATCACGACTGCATCTATTTCGTACGTGTAAACTATCGAAACAACAGTTTAACTACCATTTTTGAATAAAATAATGTTTATTTATTGGAATTATTAATTTATAAAAGAATTTTCTTCTGTGGATAAAACTGAAGACATCAAAGAATCGTATGACGAAGTGTTGATGCTCTTTTGTGACTTTATTCTTTAAAGACAAATTTCAATTTATGTAGCATTTAATGATTTTAATGTTCTTTGAATACTATTTTTTGTTTTAAATTGCTTTATATAATTAAAATTATGTAAATTAAATGCTAATTGTATAATTAACACGATTGGTTAACTATAATACACGGTGTATCGAAAGTCATTACAGTATTTATTTTAAAAAGAATTCTAATTACGAAAAACTAACTTAACATGAAAAATGTGTTTATTTTAAAGTATATGCCGCAAAAATTAGGGACCTTTAACTCTTCTGAGAACATACAAGGCGAAAAAAACCTCGAGTTCCTTTTGGTGTGGTACTCGAGGTGTCTTTCTCCTTGTCTGCTCTCAGATAACCTAGTATTCATTGTACTGGGGTTCCAAGAAAGAGCCCTCATCTCCTAAAAAGAAGAATTAAGAAGATTAGAAAGTTCTATAACTTAAAAAGAACAAAAAGAATTGTCAGGAGGACAAAAACATACATTATGGCTTACAGCCACAGAAGGTGGTGCAAGATGGGGCCATGGGGTAAGACGGGGACGTCTGTTTATTCGTGGTTAACGCGCTTTCATCTATCTGTTATTTGGGGAACTAAATGTCAACCTCAAAAGGGATCACGGGACGTGAGAACGTCCGAATCGCTCTCTTTGTTCGGAAGTAGGACAGTTTTCCACGTTTCGGCAATACTTCGTCTAATTTTACGCCCGCTACAAAGTTTCTAATGTAAATTAAGAAAAGTAAGTAAGCATCGTTGCGAACTTTTACATTACCTTTTAGATGATGATATTATAGTATTCGAAGTAACCTTTAAGACCGAAATTGTTTAGTTTTGAAATAAAGTTGACCCGTGTTTGCAGTCAGTATGAAAAGTGCACGTTGGGGTAAGACGGAGTACCATCTTGCCCAAGGTTGGCCACGAATTCTGCCGCTGGCTAGAGGTACCGCAATATAGTGAAGCGAACTAGTTTTAAATTCGTTGTCATTGATAATTCTATATCATTTTTTCGAATATATAAAATCATAAGTTTAAAAATGATCTATTTATAGAAAATGAAATATTCCACTTTTAAATCATATCTAACTGTAATAAATGTATACACTACTGTATATACTAGTACTGTATTACTTTATTATTTATGTTTTTACGTTTTATTTTATTTGTGAAAACATTTTTTTAATTTAAATACTGTCGTAACAAGAAATAAAATGTGAGATAGCAATCAAAATAAAAATTTTTTCCACGAAAAAATATCGTCTGCTTAAAAAATAGCGAAACTGAGCATGCGCGAAGTGAGAGTATCGTCTGGTAAAGTAAACACGAGTAAGTTCAAACTTTTATATTTATTTATTTGGAAAATAATAATAAATGTAGCTGCTGTGATAAATGGGCACACTGTTATTGTGCCAATATTGAAGAAAACGACAGTTTAACCATTTTAATTTCTCCTTCTTGTATATAAAAATAATATTCCCATCTTACTCCACGGGTGGGGCAAGATGGTGCATTTACGTATAATTTTAAAATATTAAATTTTCTTGTTTTTAAAAACATTTTTCAAAAATTAAATTTTATACCAGTCGACCCCCCTATAACACTGTTGATAATTCCGTTTTATATGAATTCCATGTTGTATGAGTCACTTAGATTTTACAAATACGTGAGCCGTTCACAGCCCTGCACACGTATTTGTAAAATCTAAGTGACTCATACAACATGGAATTCATATAAAACGGAATTATCAACAGTGTTATAGGGGGTCGACTTGTATTATATATTATCAAATGTTGTAGTTGCCGAGAATAAAAAATTTATCGTTCTCATTAAAGTGGTTGCCATCTTATGACTTTTCAAACCTTAACGTCCTCATCCTGCCCCACCTTCCCCTACATATCTTTATGACATCACAGCATTTTTTTTTAATGTATTGTTACCGAAATAGATAGTTGTTTTTGAGACACCCTATATATTATTGTACAATTTTACAATAATACAATTTTAAACAATTTGTTAAATATTTTTCTAAACAATTTTCTAAAGAAATTTGGGTTACTAAAATGTGTTTGCTGTTTAGAATTTTGTCTATAACTTCAATTGTTTTTGTATACAAAAATACCGAAAAAATACGAAAAATTTTTATTTCAAATACCTGAAACATTGAACTATACGAGGGATAAGAAATTTAGAACTACTTTCATATACGAAGTAATTATTGATATTATTTTGCAAGGCTGGTATTATTTTAATGTGTTTTTAATATATCATTTAAATTTATTTTTTATTATTTTACCATGAAATATGATCACGATTATGAAATATACAAAAATATTTTTAAAATAATTTCTCCTTATTTCAAAGTTTTTTTTTTAATCGCGTAATGAAAACTTTTAAATTCAGAAATTATTCGAATCTACAGTTTTTAGAAAGCATAAATCATTCTCTAAACCAGTTCTTCCCAACGAGGTCGATGTTTGAGAGAGGGAGTCGATAAAACTTTTCAAATATAAAAAAATTATTTAAAAGTATTATAAATTTTACATATTTTTCCGTTTCCAAGTAAATTTAGGAAGATGCCTTTTAAAAATTATGTAAGACTGTTGCATATATATATATATTTATACACAATAAAACCTCTCCAAAACGAAACCTGAATAAAATGGAAATCTGCCTAAACGGAAAAATTCTTCGAAACGGAGCGATTTTCTATGAAAAAAAAAAACCTGTTTAAAACGGAAACCTGCCAATAGCGATAAAAATAGTCAGTACCGTGCATCGATACATGAAAAAGGTTGTGAACCCTTGCACTAAACTAACTATCAATACATTAATATTAAAACGTAATTACATGAGATTAATGATTTTGATATTGGTTTGCTATCTGTTTTCGAGCATATTATGTCAATAATATTTCAATATTGATTACAAATTCTGTTGAGTTTATTATGTGCTATTTGGAAAGAGAACTTGTTATAGACTATTAATATTTTATTATTTTTACATAATTGTAAATTTTCGTGTTTATGATACTTTAATTTATTCACTTCTTCACATTAGGAAATGATATCGGAAAGGCATAATTATACATTTGAAGTTATTGTCTTAACTCTTTCGAATCTATAGACATTGATGAATGAAGAAAATTCGGATAATCTTAGAATCGATTTTTTTTCATTTAATAAATGAAAAATTTTAGAAGTTCTTATTGAAAATAACAAATATAATGTTATTATCATCGTCAATAACGTATTGGAAAACATTATTCATATCTCGAGGTATAAAATTATATTTATTTCTAAATCTTTCGCAATCAAAAACATAATTAAAATTTTCATACATTACAGTCGACCCCCCTATAACACTGTTGATAATTCCGTTTTATATGAATTCCATGTTGTACGAGTCACTTAGATTTTACAAATACGTGAGCCGTTCACAGCCCGGCACACGTATTTGTAAAATCTAAGTGACTCATACAACATGGAATTCATATAAAACGGAATTATCAACAGTGTTATAGGGGGGGGTCGACTGTAATTGAAAAATGTGATTTTTCTCTTCTTCTCTTCATAATATAATAATGTTATCAAGTATAAAGGTGTAAATTGTGCTTGGTAAAAATATTTTTTTACAAAGCACAATTTATATAAACAAATTCCTGCTGCTAATTTTGTGATGGCAAATTATTTATGTTTATGAAAAAATGCTTTATATCTATGTATCCAGGATGCTTTAATGATTTTCTTAAAATATAAATGCAAAAGATTAAAATATTACATGATAAATGTTATAATTACAATATAAATTATATGACATTGACGTATTGTTAAAAAATAAAAATATTTTTATTAATATATAGATATTCACTTCGTAATATGCAATATTACGAAGTGAATATCTATACTGTATATTAATTTGATAAGCTCAAATACTGTCTAGCTTGGTTTGAGAGAATGGCTGAGGGTACGAACATGGATCAGGTATCAAATTAAAGCTTTTATCCTGTAGATGATAGCACTGAAAAGAGATTTGAGAAAGGTGTAGTGGTTCAGACGTGGCAGAGTGGCAAACACATAATGTTAAGTCTACGGGGGAAACGTGTCTGGAGCTCGCGTTTCATCTAGCAATTAATTATTTTAAACCGTTAAAACAACCTTTGGCCCTATCCCCTAATCTGAATTCCTTCTGTTTTTAAATAATTACGCGTTAATTAAATGATTTTTTGCATTAATTTTTAACATTAATAATTTTGAACACTTACGCTATTTAAATAATAAAATAAAATTAAGAATGAATTTTAGTTTTGTATTAAACTACTTAATTTTTTTTTAATCTGTAATAAAAAACAGTATGTTTTAGAAAAAAAACGCATGAGCTGATTGATTGTATTTTAATTAAATAAAACCTTCGTTTTCGGCGGATTTCTGCTAGTTATTTTCTTATCTTTAAAGAAAAATAAGTTCTTATAAACTTATTCTACTACTTTCAAAGGGTGTTTCATAATATAGTGAACAAGTTTCACACTATTGTGAATACACCATTGTAGATACAGATTTAAAATTTTTTGTGAAATTCGCGATAATGCTTCAAGTTTCGTCAGTATCTACAAGTTTTCAATGTGGCCTTCATCAGTGATTTGACACGTATCCGAAGAAAATTTGACTTCTTGCCATACCTTGCTCAAGAACCCCTCATCGACTAATTCTTAACGATCCTCCAATTGTTTCCTAACTCCTTATTCTCTAATTTGGATAATAATATGCTGGTATAACATGAGCTACTGATATTGCTGGAAAGAAACTTGGAGTATAAAAGGATATTTTACACTAAGTATTACTACACTTTCACTATTTCCATCACAGTAATTTCCCGAACTTGTTTCTTATATTATGAAATATCCTGTATTTTGACCTTTTGAAACTACTTGACGGCATTTTTATTACTAATAGCAAACATATTGACGTAAACATTGACTCAAAATAAATTATGTATATTTTTGTTATTCATTTACACCTTCAGAATGGGACTACATGAGCAGTACTATACTCCTTTATCTATAAGGTCTCTGTATAATATAAACGTCTTATGAGTATAAATAAAATATTTATTGCTTGCAGCGCCAAAAGTGCCATAGTGGCGAGTTATGGTACTAATTTTTTGTTTTTACAGAAATGTCTCCTGCATATTCTGAAATGTCATCATACCAAATTTGATTGCATTTGGACTGCTAAATATCTCTTTAGACAACATCGAATAGAAGTACTTTAATTGTGATCACTTGGTAAATCTACTTGCCACATTTTCTGTACAGATGATTTCCGTAATTAATTTTTTATAGTGAAATGAACTTTCACACCTGCTTTTTATATTTTTACTTGAAAGATATTTTTACTGATCATAAGCTGCAGCTTAATAAATTATTATGGGAGATCTATATTTATATATTAATGTAAAATATTATATTAATAAACATTTATAATGTAAAATATCATTCTAACCTAGAATGTGGTCTTAGAATCGGAAATAATTCGTTGCAAACGTTCAAAGTATCGAAAAAGTTAACAGCTATGGTATTTTCTGCCTGTTCATGGAAAGGAACTGTAGAAGCCATCTGAAAAAAAATCAATTCACATTATATACAACAATTAATAGCTATACAATGTAAATTTCAATTAATTAATACCGTTATAATCTAAATATATTTAATTGCAACTAAATAATTAGTTATATATTTATTGTATAACATAATAATCAAACATTAATAGTCCAAATATATTATATTTTATATTGATAACATGTTTCTTTTAAAATTAACTTAATCTTGTTAATTTATTTATAAACTTGATTACTTATTATTATAAACTAATTCATTTTTACATAAATTACCCATTAATTAATTTTATTAAGCATCAGTTAGATTCTACAAAGGTAAATCAAGATGTAATTATTTATTTATTTATGTGCATAAACATTTTAAAATAAATTAATATATTATGTATTATATAACAAATATACTGTATGTATAAAATCCTACATAGCCTAATACTGTATATTAATTGTAATAATTTTAGTTAAGTTCATACAATTATACTATCAGGTCAATGTTATAATCGCAGAATATTTGTATATTTATAATTAAATGGATACCTTATAAGCAATTCCAGCATTGTTTACCAAAACGTCTAAACCGTCGTAGGTTTCTTTCAAATAATCGCGTAATTGGCGAATACTTTCCAAATTACTAATATTCAATAAATGAAATTTCGGTTTTAGACCCAATTTTTCAAGTTTATTCACAGCATCCTTTCCTCTTTGTTCATCTCTTGCTGGAGTAAAAAATTAATAAAGTTGTAGATAGCATTTTTACAAATATTTGTATAAAGATAGAATGAAATTTATCAAATTTTAATATTTACCTGTCAGATAAACGTGTCCATCAAATTTCTGACAAAGTGCCTTAACAATTGCAAATCCAATTCCTTTGTTTCCACCTGTTACCTAAGATACATACACTATAAGTGTTTTTAATAAATATTCAATTGAATGTTATGCATTACTTATTACAGTATATATAATTCATTTAAACTTAGTTATTGATCATAACACTTAAGTGATAATGCAATTAAGTTTATTAATAAACTACGTCTGAAAAATTATTCTTTCAACTTTTTAATTTTAATAATTAAACGTTAAGTCTCTTAACAACACATTTTGCTGGTAATACAATATTAATGCTAACAAGATTTCATTATTTACGTCGTTAACGCAACTTTTCGCTATTTCTTCTTAACTTACGGAATATATTTTGTATGTCAAATGATTTTCTCTTTAAAGTATATTTAAAAATAGTTTTATTATGCAATTATTATTATTTATTTAGCAATACGGAGAGAATTCTATCGCGTAACAAACTTGCGACAAAGCAACCTCATATTGTTGATTAACGAACTTAATAAGGTCATTAACTGTCTCCTACTAAAAAATGTAAACGCTTTTAATTATTTATATGTTCTAAATATGAATATAACACACGCTACTAATCGCAAATCGTGTAATTTTTGCGCGATGCAAAACGACACGACTATATCCAAGCATGCTGCATGCATACGCGATAATACTTAAAACTCGGTTAACGATTTAATAACATTCTCAATTTAATAAAGTATTTGTGCTTAATTGAAAAGCGATACGCTCATTTTTCACATAAAATAGAAATATATCGTTGGATTAGAAAAACTTACCACAGCAACTTTGGTTGACATTTGAATCGAAATTCTTAATAAATCGCTAGAGAAATATAACTTTCAATAACGATACTTAAATCGCTATTTTAAAATTTTACACAAATTAATTAAAAATGGATAATAAATGCAAAATTTAAACGAAAACTACTACCCGTTCGATAACTGAAGTGTTTAAGCTTTTTGTGTGACGAATGGCGCCGATATCATTATTTTGTTATGGCAACAGGTAAGACCTTTACATTGAAAGAGGAAATGAGGCCAAGGTTATCGTAGACACACGCAAAGCTTTTTTCTTAATAAAGCACTCTATAGCATTTGAAATTTTATTATGCTTTGCACAATTGTATTATTTTATGAAGTATTAACCGGAAAATATTAATTTAGTAAAACAACTCATTAATAATTGTCGCTTTAAGACAAGATGGCAAACTTGTCACACATTTATTTGCTACTTAATTTAACACACTGGGACGACCGCTTGGATCATTTTAACCCTCGTATGAGATAGGTTAGGTAATACAATTTTTATTTTGAGTGTCAATGATTTTTCGTGTATAAAGGCAGAAAGACTTAAAACAGGTAAACCTGCTTAAAATGACCGAAGGGGTCAAAATGACTCCTCATTATGTTTGCAAAACTGTGTTTAGTTTATGAGCTGTATACTTTTTTTTTTTTGGTTGTTGTTTAATGCTTTACATTTCAAGTGATTAATTATTTTTATGTGACATAAGCCGACGTTCTTCTTCGTAGCGTTAAATAAACAGGAACAATTTTGTTTAGACTTATATCCGGTCTTCATCATACAAGTTCTGTTTCTTTGAGAAATTTGCGCAGTAAAAATGTCTTTGCATCGCGGTTAGCAATTTTTCAAACTCTTCAAGATATATCAGAAGTTGATTTGGATAAGATGGAATTGAACCGGCTTTACTCCGAAAAAGTAGTGTTCAATACCATTGAATTTTTAAACTATGAGTCTAGTAAGTCAGATGACTCCATCCATTGCACCGAATCTGAAACAGATGAGAATGAAAGTGAGTAGAGTTCATCTGAACCAGGCAATATTCAAATAAGAGAAAGTTGAGATGAAACTCAATGTAGAAGTTGCTGTTGAAGTCAATGGAAATATCTTGCAAGCAAATTCTGCCCCAAGTAATTGGCAAACAATAATGCATCGACATCATCTTCCCATTTATGTCACGGTTGGAGTCGAGGAAGAAGAAACATTTATATGCAAAAAATACTGAATTTGAAGAAAAATAGACTCTATTTGGCTTGACTGTTCAGAAGATAATGGAAATGGATGTATGTACTTTTAGAAGGCTGGCACAGCAAAATGTATTGCGAGAATTCTCTGATTCTAGATATGCTTAATCAGATGGCAAGAAAGTACTCTGAATCAGTCAGATAAAATCTTTGACCTCGCATTCGTAAACTCCAGCGTGCTCTACCAAATGGTAGCTGGTAAGAATGTTCTTCACATGGATTTTATCTTGCAAGTTGGTAGAAGATCTTCGGCAAGACTACGTTCAGAAAAGGAAAGAAACTGACGATACATTGATGGATGAAAGCAAGAAGGCCCATCGGTTGCAAACGGAACAAGTACCAACTATGTTTTGCAAGATAATAAAACTACACACTCATGCTCGCAGTGCAAAAACCTTGTTTGTGGGAAGAATACCAGAAATATCAAATAAAGTGAGATTTGCAAGGATTGGATTAGATTGATGACAGAAGGCAACGCAATACTGTCAAGAATGAGTGCCTCCCGGGAGGATTTTCTATGGGGAAATTGGCAGGTTTAGACAAGTAAAGAAAATCCGAAAAATCCACCTGGCGTGCCTCATTGTAGAGAGTGTAGAATGCGGCACGAACCCGTGACCAACTACCAGCGTTTAGTGGTTTTATCTACTCAGGCCTAGTAAGCCTGATCTATAAGGATTGTATGCGTAAATAATCATCAAAAAACTTACTTCTCCCTTATTTATACTTATTGTTAGTTACTAGTATGGTGCTTAAAATAGGGAAAAAATAAATGGCTTATTTTTTTGTGGTCCTACCCTCCAGAACTATTCCAACTGGTCTCAAATTACTACAAAAGAAATTTGAACTTGATATATTAATATTTAGAGGTAGCTCAATGACCACAAAGTTTATAAAAAGCGATTTATGACAAATGAAAAATACAAGACCTGTTTTGGTATACCGGACTTTTTTCACTTTTCTGGACAATTACATACAAATTAAATAGTCATGTAGACTGTACAATATTCAAAAACAAAGAATTGTCGAAAAAAGCTAAAACAACCAAATTTGGCAACAAATACCATAAGTGTTTAGAAAATTTGAGAGATGCTGCCTTGGATATTGTCATGTTGATTATTGCTGAGTATTCAAGAAGTGATTTCAGAAGAAGATGAAGGTCATTGTTAGGAGCACTCAGTGGAGCTGAAATCCAGGCTTTCAAGGACACACTTGCAGCAAAGACACACACACACACCCTGTAGTCTCGTCTCTTCTTTTTTGTTAAGTGGAACTGGCCCCTAAACATCCACACCTTCAAACTGTAAATTACCTTTGAGAGTCAGAGTGCATGATACGTGGCTCCAGGTGCCATAAATCAGACCCCCCTCTGTGAGATTGAACCAAGAAAGATAATAAGTTCAGTGAATTCTCTGTAGCTATCTCTCGGCTGACTGTTTTCCAGATTGCTGTTAGCAAACTCAACAACACCATCTTTGATGTCTTATTTGATGATGTTGATACTGTGTTATTTGTAAATCCTGTTTCATATTTCTGTTGATCAATTAACTGCCAATGATGTTGCAATCGCTTAAAGATTGGAACTTCTGGTGATGATGTGGATTCCAGATAGACTTCAAACACTGCACCAACGATCAGCTTAATTACATGATGCTGGCATTCGCGAGTCATGACAGAAATTAATTTTGTGGGAATGTCATGTGTTTATTTATTGAGTTTATTTTATATGACCAACTACAGTTTTACAAACTGTTGTACTAAAATGGACACATTGTGGTTCAAGCTTGTAATTGACATATGCTCATCCTTACTATTTGGAACCTATAAAACTTCAGTGACATTGAGCTACCAGTAAATATTCACCAATGGAGTAGATTTTTGGCACAAATTTTTCTATATATATTTGAATGGAAATAGAGGATAGGAGGTTCACATTTACAAATTGTGAAAATAAGCTCCACACTATTAGTTACCGATAGCATTTAGCTTGCGTTTCAGAAGTCATATGGCAACAGCTATTTTATTCAAAATCCCTAATGTTTAAATAAAATTTAAATCTTTTTAAAAGTAAAATGAAAATAAAACAACATACTTCGATCAGATTGGAGTTCCCTGTCAAAACAAAATCTGGAACTACCTTTATGGTTTAATTTCAGGACATTTGATATTGCCGATATGGTGAATCAAGATTCAAGAATACCCTACGACTAAGGAAAGTGATTGGGATGGATAACCCGGATTTGATCTCGGACCCCCCCCCGGAGCGCTTGTTCATTTGGCCGTCTGATTTGATTGACCTAAAAATTTCCAGATTGTATATTTTGTAAATACATGTCCATGAAATTAGCCCCTGCAATTTTGTACTGGTATAAAACTTGTACCATTTAAATGTTATTTTGGAATGTCTAATATTAACTTTTTGTAGGCATACTAAATATCTTACAAAATATAGTCAATCTAAAATGCGGTAGTCTACTTCATGCATACACAGTACGTTACTTCAATGCTACTAGTACATTATTTGTACTAGTAACATTGAAAAGAGCGCAAGTTAAATACAATAGAATGATTGTCGGAATTAATATGAACCGATGGTACCTCAAATAACCGAAAATTCGAATAATATGGACCGCCGCTGCAATTTTGGATAAAAAGTTACGAATTTAAAAGATTTATATAATAGCACATTTAAGTCTCTTTTTAGAACTTGATGAATTTAATAATGTATAAGGACAACTTTTACATCATTTATTACACAACTGATACAGTACATACATTGGTTTTAAGAATTAAAATGTGTGTTATTGTAGTCACGTTTTTAATCTAAGTGATTTATTCATTGAATTTAAATGATAAAGCGTAAAGGTACAGTCGAGCCCCATTTGTTTCTCAGTTGTACTGTCCATTTTTCACAATTATACGTTAAATATTTTTTAAAAAATACGTTAAATAACTTCTCCATTACAAAAAAAAAGTAAAAACAATAAAATGATTTATGACGAAAAAAAGACATTAATACGTTTTAAAAATGTAAAAAGAAAACATCTAAAACAGATACGATTCATATATCAACTCCCCATCCCTTTCATCTAAAACAGAAGAGAAGAATAAACAATAAGAATAAAAAGTAAGTCGGAAACTACTTACTCTGGCAGCAGATATTCTTGGAATTCCTATTAAAAACATGCTTAAAGCAATGTAACTTCAAGACGTGAAAATAGGGAGATGTGCAAGTTGTCCCTCAAAAAAAGATCGCAAAACAAATGCGTCTGGTTCAGTATGCAATGTTTCCTATTTGTTTGCAATGTGCCATAAAAGTATGCTTTAATTAATTATAATAGTCTTTTTTATTACGATAATTAGTATTACTACATGATAATAAACACTGTTGGTAATTTTTTAAAAAATCATAATTATTTCTCGTTTATATCAACATTTTATGTATGGTCACAGTGACCCATCGGTAGGAGATACGCGAAAATTATTTGTTGTTAACAGTTACGCACAAGATCTATTATAAAAATGAAAAATCCCTAGTTTTCTATCATACATTCACTTTCAAAACGTGTAAGTTAATTTGGTAACCTTTTTTTCAAATTGTTTCTATAATAATTAATCAGTCCGTATCAATGCTTGTCTTGACAGACATGTGTATTTCATAAATTTTCATAGCTCTATTAATTAAATTATTTATATAAAAATTGGTTTAAAAAAGTTTAAATTTTCTACAAATCACAAAATTAAAAATTTGTAAAAGCTAAGAATTTGAGAAAATAAATTAAGACACATTTAATTTGTTAATGCAAAATTAATAATGTATGAATAGTGAGTGTTAAATAAGCTAATATAAAAATATATTGAACCAACCCTTTCCTAAAATTGAATTCAAAATTTTGAAAATCAAAACTTCATGTTTGTAACCGCTAATGAAAATAAAACAAAAATCTAGCAACGAGTTGCTTATCTTTCCAGGAAACCTTTAAAGCTGCGTGTATGTCGCATATATTAATATAAAACCTTTTTAATAATATAACTATTATAAAATGGCAAAAGCTTAATTTTGAGAGTAGATATGGGTTTTATAAAGAAAAATTTTAAATGCTAATGAGTAAAATCGTCATTTAAGTCCGGCCCTACTCAAGATACGATACAACTCTCCCCTCAACCTTTAATTAAACACCAAAATTTATCATCATCAATCCCCCGAACAAAAACTCCCTGCAACATTTCAGAAATTTCGACAAAAAGCAGAGGAATTATTAGAGGTAAACAAAATCGTTTCCCCAAACAAATATCTATACAGGAAACACCCTAATTTTTTTGAATTTCTTGACGTTTGAAGGTCCCGAGTACAAAGATGTAAAAATTTTGAGATCATTTTTTTACTGACAATAAAAAAATAAAATCAGGTTTATAATCCAAATCTTAATTTTTTAATATCAAACAAACAACCTTCCAGCACA